TTTCGGTCCTATTTTTACCCTTTTGGATTTAGGAACTTGTACTTTTGCCAAACACCCCCACACTTTCAAATAATTCAAGTTAGGCTTCCTTCCTTTCCATTTTTCATATGGAATAGATTGTGTTTTGCTATGGGGAACTCGATTTAGTATCCGGTTAGCCATACGAACGACTTCCTCTCACAAGTTCGGTGGCAAACCAGAACTTATCAACAATGCGTTCATCATCTCCTTTAATGAACGATTCTTTCTTTTCACAATCCCATTGGATTGGGGCGTGTAAGGGGCTGTTGTTTGATGAATAATTCCATATTCTAGACATATTTCTCCAAAAGGAGATTCATATTCACCATCCCTATCACTTCTTATCATTTTGACTTTCTTGTTAAGTTGTGTTTGAATTTCATTTTTATATTGCCTGAATGCGTCTATTGCTTCATCTTTACTATTAAGTAAGTAAACATAGCAATATCGAGTATTTTCGTCAATAAAAGTTATGAAATACTTCTTTCCACGGCGAGATGGTATTGACTTCATATCACAAATATCCATGTGAATTAAGGCTAAAGGATTTGAATTCCTTTCAACCGACTTATAAGGATGTTTAACATACTTAGATTCCACACATATTTGACATTTTGATTTTTCGCATCCAAACTTAGGCAATACTTCCATGTTAATTATTTTTCGCAAGGTTTTATAATTGACATGACCTAAATGTACATGCCATAAATCATTTGACTCAAGTAAGTAAGAAGAAGCTGGAGTTTTATTATTATTTTTGACAACTATTACATTCAGCTTGAAAAGGCCCTCAGTAAGGTAACTTTTTCCTACAAATATTTCATTCTTACTTATCACCACCTTGTCGGATACAAAAACGCACTTGAAACCGTGCTTTACAAGACGTCCAGTAGAGACTAAGTTCTTCCTAATTTCGGGAACATGAAGGATGTTGTTCAAAGTCATGACCTTGCCAGAAGTCATCTTGAAAAATATCTTCCCATATCCTTCAATTTTTGCTGTAGCAGCATTTCCCGTAGAAAGCGTCTTTTCGAGTCCAGCAGAAGCATATGTAGAAAATGCTTGCTTCCCTTACAGCACAAACATGGCGAGTATCTCCAGAATCAATCCACCACTCCTTAGGATTTCCTACCATGTTGCATTCAGAAAGCATAACACACAAGTCATCAATATCTTCGTGCTTTTCAACCATATTTGCTTGACCCTTCTTCTTGTCTTTCTTTGGAGCACGACATTCTACAGATCTGTATCCAGCTTTTCCATAGTTGTAGCAATTTCCATTGAACCGCTTCTTGCTTGGGTTATTTCTTGGCCCAGAAGCTTGCTTCCTCTTTCTCTTAATTTGAGAAGTAGCCTCAACAATATTTTCTCCCATTATTGTTGAGTTTCCATGACCTTTCTTTTCAGCTGCTTTGTTGTCCTCTTCGATTCTCAACTGAACAATGAGATTTTCAAGGGACAACTCCTTTCGTTTTCCTTAAGGAATTTAATCCTCTCCTAGTACCCAAGGTTATGGATTATTTTCTCCCAGGATAGAACGAATTACATACTGGTGTAGCGGTACTTCAAACCCCAGTGTTTCAGTGAACACAAAGTTCGGTAGCAAATCACACTTACAGTTGCTTTGTTTGTAGTTTAAAACAATGCAGAACAAAGGAGGAGATCTCAGAAGTCGAATGTAAATTCTGAGAGGAAGGAATGTAATGTATAGCCAAACTTTGAGTGTAAACTGAAGAGGAAATCAGTAGCTTCACTTTCGATTTCTGTCTGTGTGTCTTCAACAAGCTGCTTGCACCATCTATTTATAGTGCAGTCAGCTGCTAAACACGGACCCGCTGCCACTTATTTAGTGGAGCACTTGGCCATGATGGGCGGAGCACCAGGCTGCTAATTAATGGAGCAATCACTTGCTATTATGGAGCAAACATTTGGCCATGGTGGGAGACGCATTAGGCTGCAGGAACAAATCCACGGATTGGAACATATCCGTTACAAATACGGATAATATTACGTTAATATTTACTATTAACAAATAAATTTGGTCCAAAAAATTAATCAATCATTCGATCATTTGACCAAATCCGAATCCGAATCCGAAGCCGAAGCCGTAGCCGAAGCCGAGACGAGCGAGTGACGACGACGACGACGTGAGACTTGCCTTCTTCTTAACTCTTTAAGAGCTACAAGAAGAGCAATTATATATATACCCACCAAAATCCTTTTCCTCTTCCAATATGGGACAATGTTTCAAGAGAGGAAAACTTAAAATTTTACTCAAAAATTTCATTTTCCCTCCATTTCCCATTCACCCTCTTTTTAAGACTTTTCCATCTTAAAATTACATGCCATAAATCATTTGACTCAAGTAAGTAAGAAGAAGCTGAAGTTTTATTATTATTTTCGACAACTATTACATTCAGCTTGAAGAGGTCCTTAGTAAGGTAACATTTTCCTACAAACATTTCATTATTACTTATCACCACCTTGTCGGATACAAAAAACGCACTTGAAACCGTGCTTTACAATAAGTCCAGTAGAGACTAAGTTCTTCCTAATTTTGTGAACATGAAGGACGTGGTTCAAAGTCATGAGCTTGCTAGAAGTCATCTTGAGAAATATCTTCTCATATCCTTCAATTTTTGCTGTAGCAGCATTTCCCATAGAAAACGTCTCTTCTGGTCCAGCAGAAGCATATGTAGAAAATGCTTCCCTCCCAGCACAAATATGGCGAGTGGCTCTAGAATCAATCCACCGCTCCTTAGGATTTCCTACCAGGTTGCATTCAGAAAGCATAGCACACAAGTCATCAATATCTTCGTGCTTTTCAACCATATTTGCTTGACCCTTCTTCTTGTCTTTCTTTGGAGCACGACATTCTACAGATCTGTGTCCAGCTTTTCCATAATTGTAGCAATTTCCATTGAACCGCTTCTTGGTTGGGTTATTTCTTGCCCAGAAGCTTGCTTCCTCTTTCTCTTAATTTGAGAAGTAGCCTCAACAATATTTGCTGCCATTATTGTTGAGTTTCTACGACCTTTCTTTTCAGCTGCTCTGTTGTCCTCTTCGATTCTCAACCGAACAATGAGATCTTCAAGGGACATCTCCTTTCATTTGTATTTCAAGTAGTTTTTGAAATCCTTCCACAAAGGAGGCAGCTTCTCAATAATTGCTGCAACTTGGAATGCTTCACTGATGACAAGACCTTCAATGAAAATTCCGTTAGTAAAAATACTAAAAATTTTACTTTCAACATCAGTATTCATTATATATATACCTTCAGCAAGTAGATCATGAATAATCACTTGCAATTCCTGGACCTGGGTAATAATAGATTTGTTATCTACCATTTTGTAGTCCAATAATTTTGCGGCAACAAATTTCTTCATCCCGGCATCTTCAATTTTGTATTTTCTTTCAAGCGCAATCCACAATTCTTTTGACATCTCCACATTAATGTAGACGTTATACAGATTATCCTCCAGTTCGCTAAGAATATAATTCTTGCACAAAAAGTCAAAATGCTTCCACGCCTCAATCACGAGAAAGCGTTCGTTCTCTGGAGTTTCATCGGGCAGATCAGAAACATCTTCTTTGATGAACTTTTGTAGACATAACGTAGTCAAGTAGAAGAACATTTTATGCTGCCAGCGCTTGAAATCAATCCTGGAATATTTTTCGGGTTTTTCTGCCGGTGCCAACGCCGGTGTTTGGCTTGTCGATGCGTTGGCAGTCATCATCGGAACAACTCGGTTTCCGTTGTCATTTGCCATTTTTTCTATGAAAGAATGACACAAATAAAACGTTTAATAAACGTTTAAATTTGGAGTAAAAAAAATCACGTAGATTTTAATCTCCAACAAACTATCACGAAGGCTTTAATCTCCAAAACGGGAGTAGACGAAACCACAAAGGTTTTAGTCTTCAGAACTGTAAGTTCTCTAGCAAAACGCCACGAAGGCTTTAATCTCCAAAAACGGGAGTAGACAAAACCACAAAGGTTTTAGTCTCCAGAGCAGTAAATATACCACAAATACAGAAATAAAGATATTAAATTCCTTAAGCTTGTTGGTTGCTATCTTCTTACTTGCTGTATTTGTAAATAATAATTCTGAATAAAAGAATGTTAGCGTATAAACGTAAATATAAATGAAACAGTAATTAATTCGAGCCCACTGAATTCACAGTGTTTCCTTAAGGAATTTAATCCCCTCCTAGTACCCAAGGTTATGGATTATTTCCTCCCAGGATAAGCAAATTACACACTGGTGTAGCGGTACTTCAAACCCCAGTGTTTTAGCGAACACAAAGTTCGACAGCAAATCACACTTACGGTTGCTTTATTTGTAGTTTAAAACAATGCAGAATAAAAGAGGAGAACTCAGAAGTCGAATGTAAATTCTGAGAGGAAGGATTGTAATGTATAGCCAAACTTTGGGTGTAAACTAAAGAGGAAATCAGTAGCTTCACTTTTGATTTCTGTCTGTGTGTCTTCAACAAGCTGCTTGCACCATCTATTTATAGTGCAGTCAGCTGCTAAACACGGACCCGCTGCCACTCATTTAGTGGAGCACTTGTCCATAGTGGGCGGAGCACCAGGTTGCTAATTAATGGAGCAATCACTTGCTATTATGGAGCAAGCATTTGGCTATGGTGGGAGACGCACTAAGCTGCTGGAACAAATTAACGGATTGGAACATATCCGTTACAAACACGGATAATATTACGTTAATATTTATTATTAACAAATAAATTTGGTCCAAAAAGCCGAAACCGTAGTCATAGCCGATCCGAGCGACAGCGACGACGGTGCGAGGCTTGCCTTCTTCTTAACTCTTTAAGAGCTACAAGAAGAGCAATTGTATATATACCCACCAAAATACTTTTCCTCTTCCAATATGGGACAATGTTTCAAGAGAAGGAAACTTAAAATTTTACTCAAAAATTTTATTTTCCCTCCATTTCCATTCACCCTCTTTTTAAGACTTTTCCATCTTAAAATCCTCAACACAATGTATCAAATACAATAATCCTTGTTCGCTGGAAAAGGCTGACAAAACCAGTCACTTTATCTAAGTAACCAAATAGGACACCAACATCCCCAACATAATCAGAAAGAATCTCCACAACTACGTAGTTGTACTTCCTATGGTTCTTTGGATCCGAGCTCCAACAAATATCCCAATCCTTGAAAAGTGCCCACGCTTCCCCTTTCCTAGGATATACAACGTACAAACCTCTCTTGCCCTTTTCGCACTGAACTTGATGAGAAAATGTAAGTTGAACAGAGGTGGAATCAGTACACCCATGTTTAAAGTTTCCACAGGCAACAGGCAACTCTGCCCTGACCCAAGCTCTGTCTTCTTGATCTTCTGGTTGAGGCTCGAGCCAAGAACGCGGAACCAAAATGTGGTTTATTTTTACTCAAAATACTCAAATAAGTGTAAAAAAAAAGTTACTAAACTATATATAACGCCACTAATAGTGGCGCTATACAGTAACGTTAAC